GGGGCAAGATCGGGGCCTGTCAGCACATGCGCAACCTGGGCCACGACCTCAATGGGTCCAAGGCGCGGAGGAAGGTCGTCAGGAACAGGCTCAAGAAGCTGCGGCCACGCATGTGACGGGCAATGGAGCTGAAGCGGGCTGCAGGTGCCAAGGTGTCGTGCCTGTGGCAGACAGGGCTCCTGCCAGCTGCGGCCCACGACGCTGCAGAGGGTGGAGTGACCCCTTCCGGGCTGGCTGCGATGCGCACCGAGGCCGCGCGGCTTGCAGGTGCCAAGGGCCGAGGAGGCAGCATCACGCTCTACCTGGCCAGCCAAAAAAAACGTAATACGGCCCGGTCTTCGCGGCGACGGTCGAGCCGCTCATGTACTATGCGAGAGCGATCTGGCAGCAGGAGATCGGCCTGGGTGCGATGGAGCGTGCCTGGCGGGTGCTGCTGGAAAAGGTCGAGGCTGGCGAGGACAAGCTGACGTGGGCGTCAGCAACAGGCCCGCTCAAGGTAGTCATCCTCTCGCTCAAGCGGATCGGCTGGGTCATGTTCTCGTCGCTCATGATCAAGCCAGATGAAGGTCCTGTGATTTCGCTCCTGGCCACACCGCCTCGATTTGCTCGGGATCTCCTCAGACAGGGGATCTAACGCTGGCAGATGCGCCAGGCTGCCGAGTACCACTCCGCTGCACCGCCGAGCCGCCCGCTTTGGCCTAGAGGCCTTCGTGCTTGTGTGGGGGGGGGGTCGGCGTCGGTGACGGGGGCGGGGCGGGTGGGGGCACTCCGCAGCCTGTGGCCCGATTCTCTTTGGCCAGAGGCTAAGCGCTACAAGCACGGTCTGTGTGACGATCAGAGGTGCCGAGCTTGTCCGCACGAGGCCGAGACGCCAGGCCATGCTTTCATCGAGTGTCTTGCGCTGACACAGCGCCTGCTTGAGCGTGAAGAGGACTGTGGCCTGGACCCGAAGTTGGCGGCTGTCCGTGACGTCATGCTCGAGCAGGGGCCGGTTGGAGAGTGGCCGCAGGATCTTGACTCGCTTGCTGTCTCAATCGGAATCCCGCGGTGGCCAAACGTTGAGGTTCCGCAGCTGCCGAGCGACCCCCTTTGCTTTTTCAGGGGTGACTGGGACTCGCCCAAAGCATCCTGGAGCGATTGTGTTTTTATCGGTGGCTATGGATATCACAACGATGTCCCAGAGCTGCGTCGGCGCGGCTGGTCAGCGGTCATGCTGAACGCCAATGGAGTCCCCGCGCGCGCAGTGTATGGCGGGTTCGCAGGTGCACAGCAGACAGTTGGACGGGCCGAGCAGCTGGCTGGGCTGAGGGCGTTGCAGCATATGCCCTCAGTCGAGCTGCTGGTCAGTGATGTGGTCGGTTTTGTTCAGGATGGGGAGCTCTGGCGTGATGGGGAGGTCGGAGGGGTCACCTGCGCCAGTGCCCTCTACACAGGCGGGTGGAGGCAACTTGTGAGGCTGCAGCGTGAGCCTCCACAGTTCGCGTGGGCCCCCGCCCACATGACGGAGGAGGAGGAGGTCCTCTTCCCTGCCCTTGGGGACCCTACGCCCCCTCCCTACCTCTGGCTCGTGGGTACTATGTGGGGCGGATTTGTTCGCCAAGCTGGGGGGCCTTGTCGATCAAGGTCCCCTAGTTGCACGCGAGATTCTGCAAAGAGAGTCTCTCCGCGGCAGCCCAGTACGCCAAGTACTTGGGCTAAGCGGTCCAGCGGAGCTGCCAGCTAGAGCTCTGGGCCGAAGCCGCGGAGCTTGCGGCTGGCGTGCGGAGGGCGAAGCCCGCATAATCAAACATAGGGTTGCTCCTCCATGAGCATGACCTAGTGGAGGTCGGGGGTCGTCTGTTCTGTCGGCAGTGCAGGAGATCGGCCCGAACTCCCGAGGCACGACGCCAGTTGGCAGGGGACATCGACCGTTGGTTCCTCCCGACGGCCATCCACTCTCCCCAGGCCAAAGTCCTCGAGGCTGCCGCCGTCAACCGCCTGTTGGGGGCGTCTGTGGGGTCTGCGGGTACTGGGTTGTCTGGGGCTAGGGCGTCTGGCGGGTGGGCCGCACGACTGTCTGTGGACGGGGCTTCGCCTGGCCCGAGGCCTGCGGGGTCGTCTGGGGTTGGGCCTGTGTCTGCCCGTGAGGGCGAGGTTGGGCCTCCGAGGGTCACCGCGCCTGAGGGACACGACGTTACCGCCACGGGTGCGGTCGTCTGGTGTCGGCGGTGCAGGGCCCACGGGTCCGTCAGGGTAGGGAAGGCGTTTAGGGCCCTTTGCCTTGACCCCACTTGGCCCCCAGCAGGCGGGGGGCCCTTTGCCGCCTGTTGGGGGGCAAGCACCCAAAGTCTGGCGTGACCCTGGTTGGGGGTTACTGACTGGGCTTGTCCTCCCTCTAGGGTAGAGCTGTGTCTGTGAGCAGACGCTGCCTCTTTAGCTCGTTCCGTGTCCCTCCTCCTCCTCCTCCTCCTCTTCCTCCTCCTCCTCCTCCTCCTCCTCCTCCTCCTCATCTCCCTCCTCCTCCTCCTCCTGCTCCTCCTGCTCCTCCTCCTCCTCCTCTTCCTCCTCCTCCCTTGCCTCCTGCATCTGGCGCAGCCTGGCGCGCAGCCGTGAAGCGGTATTGCGACGCCCTGCGAGGCCCCGGCAGTTGTGCTCATGCGCTTTGCACCCGGCATTCTTTCTGCATCCGGGCAGATTCGCAGCGCCGTCTCCCGGCCTGCGGAGCGCGCGCGCGGCCTGACTCTCTGCCGCGCTGCGGCGTCACACGCGTGTCGCCCCGCCCTCGGCGGCCCAGCCGCGGGACGTCGGCGGGGGGGGGGCCTGGCACCGCGCCAGCAGCCCGAGACACGCACGGCTCTGGACCTTCGATCGGGCCCGCCGCAGGGGAGGGAGGGGGGTCGACGGCGGGCTGGGAGGGAGCTGGAACCCCCGCGGACGGCTGCGGGCCGACGGGCCAGCCCTGTGACCCAGACGCGCTCGCGTCGCAGAAAGAGATCAGGGCGGGGGGGGGGGGAGGATGTCGCCGTTCTCGGCCTCTGGAGGCGCTCGCTGGGCCGCGGGACCAGCAAAAACGAGTCGGGGTGAAGCTGGTCCCGGGTCGAGGGCCTGGACTTCCAGGGACAGCGTATTGAAAAATCAGGACGTCGGGTGTCTGGGTCACCTCCCTGGTTTGTGTCGCCCCGCTGTCGGAGCCCAGCCACACAGGACGTCGGAAGGATGCCTGGTACCGCGCCGCCAGCAGGAGGGATGCATGGCACTGCACCTCCGGTCGGGCACTCCGAAGCCGAGCCCGCAGTTGCTACTGCGGGCTGAAACTGGGCCGGAGGCCCAGTAGGAGGTCTCTTGTAGGGCCAGGGGGTCAGCCCATAACGACCTTACCGGCCCATGTCGCCCCACTGTCGAGGCCCAGACACAGGACGTCGGCGGGATACCTGCAGGAGGGATGCCTCTTCCGGGGTGGAAGGGGATCATTGCCCACCAAACCGCCCCGGCCCAGCCCGAAGGCCCCAGTGTGCCCTCCATTTCCAGCGGGGGGGGGGGCGGGGGGCGGGGGCGTCGGGGAACCATTGCGAAAGCACGTGGGGAGCCTGCGCCCCCCGCCCCACCCGAAATGTGGGTCTTCGGCTTAGGTCGGGGTGTTCTGGCAGGAGTAGTCGTAAGTCGGGCCTGCCCCTCTACAGGAGGAACATCCAAACATAGCCCAAAAATAGTCAGGGGACGATTTTTTGTATTTTTTAACAATCTGGGGATCTTTTGGGGGGACAGGCCCGACCTAAAGGTAGTCAGAGGGGGGCACAGGGAGACGAGGGGGTGGCGGCGGGATGGTCGTGGGCAGGGGGTCCAGAGGACAGGGGAGGCCCAGCAGGGCGCGGGCACTGCGGGGGGCGCCGGGGGGGGGCAGGAAGGCCAGCTTCCAGGCCCTCCTCCTCCTCCTCCTCCTCCTCCTCCTCCTCCTCCAGCTCCTCCTCCTCGTCCTCCTCCTCCTCCTCCTTCCTTCCTTCCTTCCTTCCTTCCTTCCTTCCTGCGAGGCACCAAGGGAGCAGCAGGCGAGGAGGGGAAACAAAACCGGGGTCACAGCACGGCCCGCTGCGGTTCTCCCGCAGCAGGGGCGGATTGGGCCGAAGGCGTTGCGCTCCGCCTTCAATCTTGGCATCGCTCGGACGCGTCACCCTGCTCTTCTCCTCCTCCTCCTCCTCCTCCTCCTCCTCTCCTAGCTCCTCCTCCTCCTCCTCCTCCTCCTCCTCCTCCCTCCTCCTCCTCCTAGCTCCCCCTCCCCTCTCCTCCTCCTCCCTCCTCCTCCTCCTCCTCCTCCCTCCCCTCCCTCCTCCTCGCTCCTCCTCCTCCTCCTCCTCCTCCTCCTCCTCCCTCCTCCTAGCTCCTCCCTCATCCTCCTCCTCCTCGTCCTCCTCCTCCTCCTCCTCCTCCTCGGAGCACTGGGGCCCTTCGCTCCCTTGCCTGGAGAACCGAGCCTCGCCCGCGGGGGGCCTCTCCTCCTCAGATTGAGCAACGCACCCATGGCATGGGTTTGTGCTGTGCAGTCGCCCGCCCCCGAAGGAGTCAGCGGAGTTGGATCTCATCGCTGGCACTGTAAACTTGAAGTCTGAACATTGCGAGCTCCATGATTTCCAAACTCTGGGGAGGATAAGTAATGAGCAGAGGAGGAGGAGGAGGAGGAGGAGGAGGAGGAGGAGGAGGAGGAGGAGGAGGAGGAGGAGGGGTGGAGGAGGAGCAGGAGGAGGAGGAGAAAACAGAGGAGCATGAGGCTGAATCCCCCCCCCCCGCGCCTTTACCACTTCGGCCCGCCTCCTCTTTCCTCCTCCCCTCCTCCTCCTCCTCCTCCTCCCTCAACTTCTCCCCGCTCCGTTCCCGCCCGTGCTCCTTCCTGCTCACTCTGCTGTCTCCCTGCCCCTTCTGGTCCTCCCTCCCTCCCTCCCCTCGCCTCGCCTCCTCTCCACCTCCTCTCCTCCCTCTCCTCGCCTCCCTCTCCTCGCCTCCCTCCTCTCCGCCTCGCCTCTTCCTCCCTCCTCCCTCTCGGCCTCCTCTTCCTCCCTCTCCTCGCCTCCCCTCGCCTCGCCGTCGCCTTACTGTTGTCTGTATTCCCCCCCTCCCGGTCCTCTCCCTCCTCAGTCTCCTCCTGCCCCTCCCCCCGACCAGATTGCCAGAGGAGCGCGGCCAGGCAGTTCGGCTGCAGCTGCCGAGCTCGACACCAGGAGAGGCCTGCGCCGCCAGCGCAAAAAAGACCAAGCCGGCGAGAGCCGAGCGATACAGGGGCGAGCACTGGTCAGCGGAGGAACCCCGAAACGGGGGAGGGGGAGGAGGACCCCCCGTCCTTCTCAGGGCTCCCGGTCCTTCTCCGACTCGAACCTGGTCGACGAGGCGCAGGAGGCCCCCCCCCCGCGCCAGCCGCCGGGGCGTGGCGGGACGGCCTTCCCCTCGTGTGCCCTGGCTTCGCGATGTTCACGCGCGGCTGGGAGGAGGAGCTGGAGGAGGAGTGGGAGGAGTTGGAGGAGGAGGAGGAGGAGGAATTGGATAAGGAGAGGGAGGATGATGGTGGTGATGCTGATGAGGAGGAGAAGGTGGAGGAAGAGGAGGAGGAGGATGAAGAGGAGGAGGAGGAGGAGCAGGAGGAAGAGGACCAGTGCAAGCCCAAGACTCATCAACGATGCTGCAACATACCCTCCCTCCAAGTTTCCTCTGCAGAGGTCCCTACAAGGGTTCCTTGTCACTGGGGGAAGCGCTCCGTCGGAAGACAACCGTTCGCAAATCCTGAACCGTGCCAGAACACCATTCCTGGGATTTCAATGCCGCGAATCAACATGATTGCTACGTCCTGACGATCCTGAATCGCGCTAGAACATTCCTGGGACTGCAACACCGCGAATCAGCGTTACTGTTGCGCCCTGATTGTAGCACATCGTTCCAAAACGCAATGTCCGGGACGTCAACCATTCGGATCCATGAGACGGATGTAAGGTCTCAAGACGAATGTGCGCGGTGGTAGGGCGAGAGCAACATGTTAAAAATACAACTCTCTCATTCCCAAGACACAAACTGTTTGGTGTTGAGGCGAGAGCTTTTTTTTAAGCCACCCGCCCTCCATCCGTGAAGCTAGTGCAATTTTGTTAGACGAATGTGCGCGGCGCTAAAGCGATAGCCACATTTGGGAAACGGCCCGCCATCCATCCGTGAAACGCTTGCATTTTCCAACTTAAGGATCCCACATGGTGAGGAAGCCTCAGGCGACACGCCTGGCCCGCCCTACCAACACGCTTCGGGGTGCGACAGGGAGCAGTTATTCAGAAGGAAAAGGATGGATGGGGCGGGCCCGAGCAGGAGGAGGAGGTTCCCTCTTCATAGGCCCCTACAAGGATTGACTTTTACCGAAGGGGAGTGCCCCGCTGGAAGACAACCGTTTGAAAATCCAGAACTGTGTCCAGAACACCATTCTTGGGACTTCAATGCCCCCTTCGGGCCCCTTTTGGAGCCGCCCCTGGCGCGCTCTGCGCGCCAGGGAGGGGGGGGGGCCCAATGCCGATCCAAAAGTCCGCGCGGAGCTCCGAAAGTTTTTGTTCACTTCTGCCCGAGCTTTGTGTTTCGATTCCTGCGGCTGTTGACGCTTTTCCTCTTTGCTGACGACGGCGCTGGGCTCCCCTGGCGGCGCCTCTGGCGCCGCCCCTGGCGCGCTCCGCGCGCCAGGGAGGGGGGCTCAGCGCAGATCCAAGAAATCCGCTCGAACCTTCGAAGGCTTGTGCCCATGCCGTTTTTTTCCGTGCTCTATGATTTGTTTGGGGTTTCTTGGGGGGCATCCTCGGTACGTTCCGTGGCCACCTCGAACCGTCGCGTGGCGATCCCGAGCCCTGCTGGGAGCGTGCTGGAGGCCCGTGGTCCAGCTGCCCAGGGACTTCGGGCTGCCTGGCGCCGCGGCTGGTCCCTCGCTTGCGAGACAGCAGCAGGAGGAAGGATGACGAGAGCGAAGAGGGTGGATGATGGTGATGATGATGATGATGATGATGATGATGATGATGATTATGATGATGATGATGATGATGATGATGATGATGATGATGATGGTGGTGGTGGTGGTGGTGGTGATGGTCATGATGATGGTGATGGTGATGGTGATGGTGATGGTGATGGTGATGTTGTTGATGCTGATGATAATGGTGATGGAGATGGTGATGCTGGTGATGGTGGTGATTATGCTGACGATGGTGATGATGCTGATGATGATGCTGATGATGATGAGGATGATGCTTATGATGATGATGATGATGATGATGATGATGATGATGATGATGATGATGATGGCGATGGTGAGGATGAGGATGAAGATTTTGATGATGATGATGCTGATGAGCTTGAGGATGAGGATGGGGATGAGGATGAGCTTTCGGATGTGGATGATTATGCTGATGCTGATGGCGAGTATGATGATGATGACGACAATGATGATGGTGATGATAACGGTGATGATGATACTGATGATGCTGATGTTGGTGTGGATGATGATGCTGGTGATGACGGTGATGATGAGGATGAGGATGAGGATGCGAACGAGGATGGAGATGAGGATGAGTTTTCGAATGAGGATGAATGTGCTGATGATGAAGATGATGATGACCATGGCGATGACGGTGACGATAACGATGACTACGATGGCGATAGTGTTGACGAGTATGATGTTGATGATGATGATGGTGATGGTGATGATGGTGATGGTGATGGTGATGATGATTACGATAGCGATGATGCTGCTGATGATGATGATGCTGGTGATGCTGATGATACCGATGCTTTTGACGACGGTGGTGATGATAAGGGTGGCGAGGATGAGGACGATGATGGTGAGGATGAGGATGAGGATGAGCTTTCGGATGTCGATGATTATGCTGATGATGACGATGAGGATGACGATGGCGATGACGGTGACGATAATGATGAGGATGATTGTGATGATGCTGATGCTGATGCTGATGCTGAATATGATGCTGATGCTATTGCTTATGATGATGCTGGTGATGCTGATGATGCTGATGATGATGATTACGATGGCGATGGTGATGACGATGATGATGACGATGACGATTAACATGACGATGACGATTACGATGGCGACAATGATGGTAATGATAATGATGAGGAGGAGGATGAGGACGAGGATGAGGATGATGAGGCTGAGGATGAGGATGATGATGAGGATGAGCTTTCGGATGTGGATGAGTAGTCCGATGATGGCGATGGTGATGACGATGGCGATGAGGGTGACGTTAACGATGAGGCTGTTGATGATGATGGTGATGATGCTAATGATGCTGATGATGATGGTGACGGTGATGAGGATGAGGATGCGGATGAGGATGAGGATGAGAATGAGCATGAGGATGTTGCTGATGGTGACGACTGCGATGATGAGGGTGAGGATCAGGATGCTGATGATGGTGCGGATAATGATGATAATGATGATGATGATGAAGATTTCGATGGCGATGACGATGACGATGATGATGGCGATGACGATGAATATGACGATGACGATTACGATGGCGACAATGATGATGATGATGATGATGATGATGATGATGATGATGATGATGGTGGTGGTGGTGGTGGTGGTGGTGGTGGTGATGATGATGATGATGGTGGTGGTGGTGGTCGTGGTGATGATGATGCTTTTGGTGATGAAGATGATCATGAGGAGGAGGAGGAGGAGGAGGAGGAGGAGGAGGACGAGACGATATCCTTCCTTTCCGTCCTTCTCTTCCTTCTTCTGCTCGCCTTGATTTTCCTGCCCCCATGCCCCGGCATGTCTTCATACTTCCCCCGCTTGGCCCGAGAGGAATCCGGCGACGAGGAAGGCAACCAGCACGGAGCGCATTGCCACGACCAGCAGCCCAAGCAGCTGTTCCGCAAGAGGCCCAGGTGGCGCCCCGGGCTTCGTCTCACCCCTCCGGAGGAGAGCGCGGGTGAGAGGGCGAGGGCCAGAGAGGGAGGGACGAGGAAGGAGGAGGAGATGTGAGGAAGAGGTGGCAGCAGGGAGGAGAGGAGGAACAAGAGGGGGTATGCCGGAGATGAGCTGGAGGAGAAGGGAATCTGATTTTCCTGCACCCCTTCTGCCCCTTTCGAATCCCCTTCCCCCGCGCCTTCTTTCCTGTTCCCGCTCCGTATCCGAGTCCTTCTGCTCCTTCGCCTCCCCTTCTTCCTCCCCCTTCTCCCTCTTCCGCTTCCTCTTCCCCCCCGTCCCGTATCTAGCCGTTCTGGCTCAGACCGTTGTGGCTGAGCTTGCAAGCGCGTGCTTCAGAGCGGCTCGCGCTTGCGGGCCAACCGATTGTTTCTTTCACGAGGCTTGGAAGTTCAACCCATCGGCGCGGGAACTCCCGCAGTGGATGGCACCTCCCGATGGCCAAGTGTTGCTTGGGCCGCGCACGCCCCACTGGGGATGCTCGTGCGGCTGCGCGGACAACTGGGCGTCGAGGGTCGCGTGTCGCATGTGTGGTCGCCTTGCCGCGCAGAAGCACATCCAGGCGGCACGCCAGGCTGCTTCCAGGGCCAAGTCTGTGTCGCAGCCGCCAGGTCCTGGGCCCAAGCACCCCCTCGGGCAATGGGCTAATGGACCGCCAGGGAGTGCCAACGCGAAGTTGCTCACGCAGCTCCAGGACTTGCAGCAGCAGGCTGCGAAGCTCACTGGTGGCTCTCGGCCCGAGTCTGGTGCTGCGCCGCCGTGGGCCGCAGGCGGCGGCGGCGGCAAGGGCAGCGGGGGTACACCATCCACGTTAGGGCAGGAGGTGCTCGCCAACCTCAAGAAGCTCGGGGTCGACAGGTCGGCCATCGTGGCAGTCGAGGAGGCGGAGAAGAATGCTGCGGAGGCAGGGAAGAAGAAGGCGCCCACAGCGCAGTCTGCGTGCTGGCGGGTGGAGAACCTCAAGACCAAGCCCTCCAAGCTGGAGGTGAGGGTCAGCGAGATCGAGCGGCAGAGAGATGCCCTGGACGAGGAGCTTGCCACGGTCAACGAGTCTTCGGCCAAGGGCGCGAAGACTTGGTACAAGCTCAGGAACTGCTGTGCAAGGCTCATGCTAGCGGTTTCGATGACCCGCTCAAGTCCATGTCAGCAGGACTCGCCTCGTCCGTCGTCGAGTCCACTGAGGGGAAGGCAGCGCTGGAAAAGCTTCAGCAGTTGCAGCGTGTCGCCGAGGAGGCGAAGCGTGCTGCTGACGACGCTGCGTCTGCTGCTGGCACTTCTGCTTCTCCGCCAGGAGGGGGCGGCGAGCACGTGGCCGCCAATGACGGCGACAGTAAAGACATCGACATGGAGCTGCTGGGAGGCGAGGACTTTGCTGAGCGCAAGCAAGCCTTCGACACCGCTGCCGAAGAGCTCAAGGCGGCCAAGGGAGGCTCCCAGAAGGTGCTGGACGCAGCCAAACGCAAGTACCTTGCAGCTGCCCAAGCCATCGGGGTCAAGCGGGCGCGGAAGTGCGGCTCCTTGCTCGGGGCAGCCTGCCCTCAGTCACGGCGTGGGCTGGAGCATTGGCATGGCCGGCCTAGCAGCGCTCCACCATCACAACATGATCGACGCGGACTGAGAAGAGGCCACGGGCTTTGCTGTCCCAGTCTTTCGTGGTGACCTGGTCTTCGAGTCGACGCTGTTCCGCCAGCTGGACTGCGAAGGTGCGCCGAGACTCGACCCAGAGGAGTGATCTACGCCTGAGACTAGGCGCATGGCCCGAGGGCCCTCAAGCGGGTTGGCTGCAACATCGACTGGGCCGAGGAGGGCGCCGTCCAGTGCTCCCCCAGCTGGCCAGGGATGATCCTCCCTTGGGCCGGGGGCAACGTCGAGCCGAATCGGGTCGTCAGCAGGGGCGTCTGCGTCGAGAGGTGCACCCACGGTTCCTTCGGAGCCTCAGAGGTCGCCGCGTGGACTTCGGGCCCGTGCTGGAGCTCGTGCAGGCTTTCGCCAACTGGCCAGAGATGCGTGTTCCCCTGGGTTGGGGACAGGTGTGACCTTGGTGGCGACTGGCTCTACATCGGCCCCTGCGTCGACTGGGTGTTCGATGGCGTTAGAATGCTAATCCTGGGACCCTATGAGGTGCCCAGGTTCAACGTCGCCCCCTGCCTACTCTTCCCCCAGGGCACCCCTCCCATAGGAGGCGGGGGCACCAGCGCGTGGGGAGGATGGGCAGGGCGTCTGCTGGATTCAGTCCTCACAAGGTCGCCAAGTTGCTGAAGCAGCTTTCCCTCCCCCCCCGCGCTGCGCTAGATGCGGATGCGGAGATTGCTCGGTCAAGGTCCGACAGGAGGGGGTGTGGACCTCCTGCTCGTAATATTATTGCAGACGAATGTGACCCTCTCGTGGCTCAGGGATCTGCTGAAAGTCGTCTCGTGGCAGACGTCGAGGCGGCCGACGTGTCTGGTCGCGCAGGAGCGTGGATGCAAGTTCCAGGACGTGGCGGCGACGGGTAGCTTTCTGGACAAGTTCGGCGTCGAGGGCGAGGACCGCTCGGCGGTCGTGGCCACCGATCGGCCGCCTGGTCCAGCTGAGCCCAAAAGCAGAGGCTACGCGAAGTCGCTCACGATCCCCGGCATATAGTTGTAGTGCCGAAGTCCATGGCCTTATACAAGGCCAGTTGCGGATCCCACCCTCGTCGCGCGCGGGCGCGGCTCGAAATTTTGGCACGGGCGCCACTTCGGGCACGTGTCGTCGGGTTGGGATCGCCAGGAGCAGATTTGCGGCTGCCAAATCTCGATCGCGCAGGCTCCAGATTTTAAAGGATGCAGGGGCGGGCGTTGGCCTCATCCAAAGGGTCGGGGCCACTGCCATGGCCATGTGGGACGTGGAGAAGCACCGTGTCGGGGATCCTCCCATGGGCGATGCCTGGGCTCAGAGTGTAAGCTGCTAAGAGCATTGGGCTACTTCCCAAGGGCTCAAGTCTAGGGCTCAGGCTTCGCTTTTTTTCAGGATGGGACTGCAAGCGGATCCCTTTGTGTCCTACATTGGCCATGTAGCATACCAAAGGGCCACGGCTGTCTGGGATAGCTTCCCGTCCAGGCTGATCCTTGGGGCGACGATGGGCGCGGCGATCGAAAAGCTGGGCAGTTTCCGCCACCCTTGGAGGGCGGCCTCGTCGCCCGCGGATGTTGCGCACCTTCCCCTGGACAGGATCGGCTGGGGGGGTTTAGCCAGCACTCGACTTCGGGGCGATCTAGGGATCGCCTGGAATCTCAGTCGCCCCCCCCCCCCCCGCGAGGTCAAGGAGCTAGTGCGCGAGGGGGCGGCCAGGGCGTCAGACAGGCTTGCTCTCGGGAGTTCTGGACGCTTAGGGTCCGAAGGCCCCTTGGGCCCCGACGGTGCGTTGCCTGTTTTTTTATCGGCAGGCTTGCGGCCGCCTCTCAGGGGCAAGAGTCAGCATTGGTGCCCGCACCATCAGAGAGTGGTGCGATCGCTGCTGTGCAACGTGCATTGGCCTCAACTACGCGTTTGTGGGCGCGGCCTGCACGAGTCTGACGTCTGCCAACTTTGTCAGGAGGACAAGAGGGCGCTCTGGCATCGGCAGTACGGGTGCGTGGCGCACGCGGGTTACCGCAGAGACGGCGGTTCGCCCTGGCTTGCCGGGCGCGCCCGTCGCGCCTTGGATCGCGGGGTCGATGCGGGGGGGCGTTTTGCGAGATGCGCGTTGCCTAGTCCCTTTGCCTTCGCCCCCCGTTTTGAGCCTGAAGTTTCTATCAAGTGGGCGAACAAACCTGCCAGTGGATTTGCCTCGGGCTGCATGTTTAGCGACGTGCCAGCTATGCGGCCGTCACTGCCAGGCGTCGGCAGAGCGGGCTGGGCTCTTGCGCAGGTAGACCCACGGGGCAACGTGCTGCGCGCGGCGCACGGGCCAGCCCCGTGGAGCTTCGGGCCTCGCCAGGCGGCCAAGGATGGATGGGGATGTTGCGATTCACATGCTCACGCAAGTTGGCATGGCGCCGTTTGAGCTGTGTCTAGATTGCAAAGCCACTCTAGAGGTGCTGCCCGGGGGGTCCTGGAACGGGGGCGTCGGCGAGGTCCCTCCGGGGCCCCATGTGGGGCCCCTTTTGGGCGGCGTTCGGAGGCTCCGACATCCGGGCCCGCAGGACTCTCGCCCATGCCACCAGCCGCGACGTTGATGCTGGTCGCTCCACGTGGTGGGAGAGAAAGGCCGAGAGCAGCGCTGACCAGCATGCCAAGCTAGGAGCCCTGATGCACGGAGTGGACGAGTCACGCGCGGCACTCTTTCGAGAATTCCAAGCGCTGGCTCTGGAACGAGGGAGATGGGCAGGCAGGCTCGAGGTTTTGACCAGCCCTCGCAGCCCTCGGAGCCGCCGCCCGACCTGTAGAGGGGGAGGTCGTTCCGTAGTCGAGTGTCGCGGAGTCGGCGGGGGACGGCGGGGAGCTGTATTGGGCTGATGAGGCCCGCCAGGTATTCTACTTCCGTCAGCGCGCCCTCGTTCGGTGCCCGATCGAGACTCCCTCCAAGATTGGAGACAAGGTTCTTTTCTGTTATAAGTGTGGGGGTTATACCTCGGGCCGACTGGGGCGCGCCCTCCTAGAGCGTTGTCTGACAAAGCTTGCCAGTCCAGGGGTTGGGACCCAGTTGAATCGGCTCCGCGCAGGCAAACACCCGCACTACCGTCCCACCACCAGGTCTCTCGCGCTCGGACCTCCAGGCCCGTTGAGCTCCCAGGAACAGGCTGAGATCGGGAGACTCGCGGATTTGTGCGAAGCTGCGGCTGCGAGTGCGTGCACGCCGTCGGCAGAAGGTTTCTTTCCAGGACTGCCCTCGCAAGCTTCGGTGCTTGCGGCCTTTAGGACTCTTGAGTCAGAGCTGCCTCGGGTTCAGGAACTGGGGCAGCGTCGGGCCGCGGACGGCTCAGAGATTGACTCTGAGGCCCCCGACGGTGAGCTCTTC